GGATGTCCCCTTGTCACTGGAAGCCCGGGGAGGGGGTCCACCCACCGCGGTGCTCACCCCTCGGCTTCGCCTTCTTCTCCTTGCCCTCATTTGAGGGTGTCTCCTTGGGCACCTTCTTCTTGAGTTTCTTTGGCGGGTYCTTATTCACCACCTCCTCTTCCTCCTCCTCCTCCTCTTCATCATCCTCTGAGTTCTCAGCAAGCTCTGTCCGGTGGAGATAAAACAGTTAAAGCAACGGCCAGGGTGACTGGCGCAGACGGTCCCTGTGCAGCCACGTCTCGCGCGCACCGCCATCTCGTGGCTGCGGACGGGCTGGGGGATGCGACACCCCGGGACAGGGCGCGCTGGGACCCGGGACACCCTGCACGGGGACCCGGGACACCCTCCAAAGGGACCCGCCACCAGCGGCTGTCTCCTCACCTTGCTTCTTCCTCATGACCTTGGCAACGTGGATGGGGGTGGAAGGAGGCTCCTTCTTCCTCCGGGGCTCTTTGGGTTTGGCGTAGGGGTCCTTGTCGCCCTCTACCTCCCCTTTCTCCTCCTTCTTCTTCCTCAGCTTCTTGACACCTGTGTGCATCAGGAGAGCCCCCAGGTGGATGGCCCTGTGAAGGGACCCATGGGAAAAGGCGTCCCCTCCATCCCTGTGCCTGGGGGTGGTGTCCGTCCCTGCCRCTCACCCTGGGCTGGGATGCAGGGCTCCTCAGCGGTGCCCGCCTCTGCCGCCTTCTTCACCTTCAGTCTGCGGGGTTTGACCTCCAGACCCGGCTCCTGCCGCTTCTTCTTCAGCTTCTGCACCGGCCGCAGCTGCAGGAGACACAGAACGGCCGGTTCTCCTCCTCACCCTCCTAACGACCGTCCCCACTATCAAATATGGGGGGTCCCTTTCCAAAATGTGGTGGTTTGGGCTTTGCATGGAAAGAGAAACATCCTGCCAGCACGGACACTGTTACCACCCTGAGAAAGGACGATGGGGCAGAGCACTCCTCTGCCTGGCACCCTTGGAGAGCTTTTGGGATGGACTCTGGGTGCTCACTGGGGGCTTCAAACACGGTATTTTGGTGCATCCAGAAGACCCTTGGATGAACTGGGCAGCCTCCTTCTTCCTGCTGCTGGGTGGGTGGTATGAGACCCAGTGCCTGGGAGGGGACGGATGGGATGGGATGGGATGGGATGGGATGGGATGGGATGGGATGGGATGGGATGGGATGGGATGGGATGGAGCTTCCTCTGCGGGATGATAGGGAAGTGCCATCCCTGCTGGGCACAGTCCTCCCCGCCTGCCCACAGACGGGGCCATCAGGGCCAGAGGCCCTTGTGATTCCCCCTTGGTRGGATGGGAGGGACCATTGGACAGGCTGGAAACCGGAGGAGGAGGCACGTGGAGCCAAGCCAGCTGCCTGCTGCCTCTCGCCCCATCGCAACCCACTTGGAAGAGACTGCAGCAGGTAGTGCCGTGCCCAGGAATAGCCGGCAGGAACACGGTTACGTGGGGATTGAGGCCAGCGCAAAGCGGGGCCATGCGGAAGCGCAGGGATTAGATGCAACCCCCCCTAATCCTGCTGAGCCCATGCTATAAATAACGCCGATTAATCCAACACGGAGTGTGCAATCATGGCAATTAGCTGGACCATAAACATCTGGGCCCACRGTGTCAGCATGGGAAGGTGACATAAGTAACCCTGTCGGATTAGGGGTGCCTCTTCCACTCCATTGAGCACTTTTCCACCTCTCTGCGGTGGAGTTTGGCAGGAAAGAATTCTCCAAAGGCAGGTCCTGAGGGCAGGGGCTGCATGTTGCATCCCAAGACATTTTGCAGGAGGGTTGGGATGCTTCACCCCGTGCTTCTTGGGGCTGTTGCTCCCTGTTCGACATTCTGCACAGGTTGCAGGGTCCCGGGACGCCCAGCCAAGCTGAAAAACCTCTGGCTACTGGGAAAGCAGGACCACGTGTGCCAGSGGCACCCGCTCCACCGTGGCCGATTTCCTCACCTGCTTGGGCTTGTGGGGCTGGGGGCTGCCAGGCTCCTCGTCCATGCTGTGGGCAAGAAGCAGAGCAGATGAAGCCTCTCACCTCATCTGGGGGACTTGCAGGGGAGAATGAAGCCCCCGGGATGCAGCCCAGCACTACAGGACCATCTCCCCTCTTCCCCTGCCACGTGGCAAAGGGGCAGTTCCAAAGGGAAGGAGGGACCCACAGGAAGCTGACGGGAGAGTCTGGGGGCACAACCTGCCTTGGGGATCTCTCGGTGCCCTGCCCAGGCAGCAAAACCCTGGCCCTGCTCCCACTCCCCTGCTGCATGGACAAGCAGTTCGTGCCCTCTTCGCTCGCCTGTGATTTGCTCTGTAAAAACCTTGGTGCTGGGAGATATTGGGCTGATTTAGGGCAAAAGGAGAAATTCTGATGCTGCCATGAAGCCCATGTCCCCAAAGGGAAGAAAACCACAGCCTTTCACTCCCCACCTGGGAAAGCTCCCCGCCGAGCGCACATGCAGGGCGCCGAGCCCGCTCGCTGCCCGGCTCCGTTTCTGCGCGAGCCCYGTCCCGCAGGCTGGGGGGCACAAGGACACGTGTGGACACGTCGCCCCTCGCAGCAAGCCCGGTGCCCAGCACGGTGCGGGAGCCCTCCCGCCGGCGCTCACCTCTCAGCAGCCCAGACCTCGCGCAGGATCTCGGCGTGCAGCGGCATCGCGGCCCCGCGGCGCCCTGGCCCCGCCGCCCGCCAGAGCCCACTCACTTTTTATTCCCCTCTCCTCCTCTCCCCGGTTAAGAGGATTTCAGGAGTGGCCGGGGAGGCGCAGGATGTGCCAGCTGGCCCCATAATCCGGCCCAAGGAGTCTGCGGGCTCCCTGCTGGCAGCAGCCACCTCTCCTCTCCAGCTCCTTCTGTGCGGGACAGGGCTGGGATGGGCTGCTGGATTTGGGGCTCCTGGCCTTGGATGTTGGGGTTTTGCTTCCTTAATAGTCATTATCATTAATAGATTTCTATATTTATCTACTAGATATCTATAGATATCTATATTTAATCTACTTAAATTAGTCCCCTTTGAAGGCCACTTGCTTTTCAGAGCAGCCACCAAGTGCAGGGCCCCAAAATACTTTCCACTAGGGAAGATGGACCAGGAAAATGGCTCAAGCACCAGCACAGGGCAGCTTCCCTGCGAGACCGACCATGTCCTGGGGTGGCGACACACGGGGCCTTGTCCAGGGCAGCTCTCGGCAGCGCCCCAGGCGCCGAATCACGGCCGGGCTGCGGCTTCCCGACTGGAAAAGGCACCGGCTGGGAGCAGGGCAGCGGGAGCAGG